GCAGGCTTGCACCTGGCACGGGCACCGTAGCCAGACTGTGCCCCTTTAAGGGCTCCGGGGCCGGGAGGGGGGCAGACGAGTTTTCCTGGTGGTGCCCAGAGTGGCCACCAGGGAAAGCTGGGGAGGGCTAGCCTCCCACTAGTTCGAATTAAGTGGCTACACAGCCCTTAATTCGAACTGCTTAATTCAAACTAGGCGTTAGTCCTCATAGAATGAGGATTACCTAGTTCAAATTAAGCGCTCCGCTAGTTCGAATTAAGTTCAGACTAGCGGTTTGTATGTGTAGCGCCTATCAAAGTTAATTCGAACTAATGGCTGTTAGTTCGAATTAACTTTGTAGTGTAGACATACCCTTCGTGCTTTAGTTCCCTATCTAAAATAAGGTAACCTTGATGGTAGCGGTATGAAGATACATTTATTCAGACACATACTTTTAAGTTAAAGTATATAACTGCTTAAATAAGTGTTAAGATATACACTATATCCTCCTGCTTCAGAGGGGTAGTCAGGTTAGTCTGTAACAGGAAAAACTTAAAAAACAACAAATAGTCCAGTAGCACCTTAAAGACTAACAAAACCTGTAGATGGTATCATGAGCTTTCATGGGCACAGCCCGCTTCTGTCATCTGAAGAAGTGGGTTGTGCCCACGAAAGCTCATGATACCAGCCACATGTTTTGTTAGTCTTTAAGGTGCTACTAAACTTCTTGTTGTTTTTTTAAGTATATCCTCCAGGTTAGCTTTTACATTTTTAGTGTAAAAATGATATTTAGTTGAATGTCAACATGCTTAAATGGTTACTGACCAAACAGAACCAACCTATATTTAGGGGGGAAAATCCTAGAATACAAATGCAAAAAAAATAAAATAAATGATGATGATGATGATTGATTGGCGATTTTTAAATAATTTCACTTAAAATCAGTCCACTCTAGCTTTTAGGGCATCTCAGATAAGTCCCCTCCTTTTATAGGTCACATGCTTTCTATATTGGGAAATTGTGTTTTTAATATCATAAGTGATTTGGTGTACATAGTATTATATTGGATATTTTTGTTTGTTTTCTTACAGGCACCAAGCATAGATGAAAAGGTAGATCTTCACTTTATTGCATTAGTTAACGTAGGCAGTCATCTCTATGAATTAGGTAAGATACTTTTTATTTCATTTCTCTTAAAACAGATTAGTGTGGTGATCTTGTCAGTTGCAATCAATAATGTTACCATTAAAGTTACAGTAGATAGTTTGACTTTGGTTTAAGACAGATTCAAGTTGTGTTAGATGTATTATAATTATTTCTTGTCTTTCTGCCAAATAATTAAACATTCTTCCTGTTATCTCTTCCCACCGCCACAAGAAGAAAATAAGGAATATGTAATATAAAGGTGAAATAAAGGGCAGGATCTAAACTAATATTTCTGGAAACTAATCTGATTTATTTTGGTCCTATTCAAGAAAACACTCCTGTTCCGGGGTGCTTGGTTTTGGAGGTGGGATTTGGCTTCTCTGATTAATGTCACTGAATTAATTAGTGTGTGTGTGCGCACGCACATGCACATGCACATGCACGCACAATATAGTGTAAATTATGGAATTGAGCTATAGCCGTGTTATTCAGTACCAGGATAGCAAGAATCAAAATATTCTGTGTGAAGAATAGTGTTCTAACAGATATTAATGATCTGCAACTCATTTATGGCAGGCAGATGTTAAAAAGTTTTTTATATTTAATAAGTAATACTTCATTTGCATTGAGCAGTAGCTTCTGCATCTGAATTATTTCTAACTATTTGCTTCTGTGCTGGTTGAGCACCATTAAATTCTGCTCAGCCTATAATGCTTCTTGTCTAAAGCATGTTGCTGGGCAACTAGATTTTGCTGCAGACACTTCTGAAAACTAGTTAAAGCAGTTTTAAATGGATTAAGATGAAAATTACAAGCCATGCAGATCACTCCAATGTTGTAGAGTGAGAATACGCTTGCCATATGTCATCTGACTACCGAACCTTTTAAAAACATATTCCTAATGAACACACTTTCACATTTTAAATAGCTTGGTGGGAAATGTAGTATAAAGGACAGGTGCTGAATCAATATGAAGGTGTAAAAACATATTCCTAATGAACACACTTGCACATTTTAAATAGCTTGGTGGGAATATAGTATAAAGGACAGGTTCTGAATCAATATGAAGGTAAACCTAACAATCCTCACCCTCAGCTGATGTCATGACTGATGTACATCGTTCTGCATAAAATGTGTTTTATGAGCTTATATTTGTGATGCTATTGGCTTAAACTAAATAGTGAAATAAAAGCTGGACAGTGCAGCACCAGTAACTTTTTACTTGAAATTTCAAAATGTGATGTTTGAATTAAAGAACCTCCCATTGTTTTAACTCTCCTCTCTCAGGTTTTGAGTCACTGTGTCAGTGTTACTTTTATATTTTATTCTGTCAACCAGCAGTCTTACCCAGTATTGCCCATGTCTTTCAGTGCAGGGGGCTATCAGTGTTGGGGAGTGCAGGACACAAGGCAGAGCCTTGGGGATCTGTGAGGGTGTGGGGGACAAGAGTGAGGGTTGGGGGGAGCAAGAGCGACTCAGAGGGAGGGGGGACCATGGGCCGGTCCCATCCAGCACGAATCTTCCCCCCTCTTTCCCCCCAGCTATCGGGGTGTTTGCTCTACCCCTCCCTCCAGCACTGAGGCAGAGGACCAGGAAGGGGGAAAGGGTTTGGGGCAGGAGGGCTACTTACTTGGTGTTCTGACAGGCAAGATGGCGGCCCTGCTGGCCACTCCCTTGGTGGTATGGCTGTCCCCAGTGGACACTGCAGGAAAGCTCTCCTTTGTGGGCTCACTGTCCCTCATTGGTCACTCTCATGTTGCATCCTTCCAAATAGCATCTCCTCCTTTCACAAGTTATGGAAAACTGTCCTTTTCTTGGGGCTTCTGGTTGTCTTGGCACAACCAAATCCTGATCTTGCTTTAAGTTAGGACAAGAGGCTGGGGGGGAGCTCTTGTACATTTCAAGAACAGAAACCCTGTAGGGAGCGCTGGACCAGAGGGGGAATTCAGCTTTTCTGCTATGGGGCTTCTTCTTTTGAAATACACATTTCAAAAGCAGAATTGCAGCAGAAGCAGGGTGGGCCGAGATTGCTTCAGTCCCCACTCATGCTGTTTTCCACTATGGCTCTATCTCCCTTGCCACACACAGAGCCGCTGCTGGGGGGGGAACTGGATTTTAAGCCGGCTCCCTCCCAGCACTGGCTCCTGCTCCCCGCCCCCATAGCTGCCTCTCTCTGATAGAAGCAGCAAGATGGGGGAAGCAACTAGTCAACTATCCGATAAGCTTCTACTTATTGGATAGTCGACTAGTCTCTTAAATTCCTAGTAAGATGTTGATGATACAGTCACATGGCAGCATGCTAATAGCACTTTTTACAAATACATAAATAATAGCCTCACAAAAACCCTAATGCACCACCATAAGAAATTAAAGATATAACATGGAGAAATAAGAAAATTGGTAACCTGTAACTCTTCTCTTGTTGACATCTAAAACCTGTAATCTTTGTGATTCCTCTAAATCTGTTCAGATAATTTGGCTGAGTCATCAGCTTTGGCCACTGTGGTAAATATTAGGACCTTGGCAAGCATCAAGCTATGGAATGCCACATGAACTTAAATGCTCATATTGCTGCCATCAAAAACATTCTATTCATAGGTAAATTCAAATACTTTTGTGCCAAAATGCATCTAGTCAATACAAACATAACTTGTGAAATATATTCAGTTCTGTTTTCTGCAGTGTGCTGAGGATTTTTATTTAAAAGTAGCAGCTTGAATCATTTCTGCTGTGTACGAGAGGTTAGTCATTAAAGTAAACAAAAATATTTTAACGTTATATTGCATAAGAACCTACTTTTTTAGGTTAATCATAAATTAGTACTGCCAAATTCAAAGAAATTATGGCAGATTAAAATAACTATTTGAGAACTAACAAACTATTCGAGAACTATTTTAGAAAAATTTTGGCCTGGCAAGTTCAATAGGCCACTTCTGGAAATGGAAAAAAAATCATGCCTTATCATATACTTTGCCATTCATAGTTTTTTCATAAGTAGCTTGAAATATTTGTATAGTAAGCAACAAAGTAAAATGTTGAGAAATACCAAATTCTACAGGTAGGCTGTGTCTACACTGGGCTACTTATTCTGCAAAATCAGCCGCTTTTCCGGAATAAGCTGCGAGCTGTCTACACTGGTCCTTGACTTTCCAGAAAAGCAACGATGCTCTACTGTACAAAATCAGCCGCTATTCTGGAAAAACTATTCTGCTCCCGCTCGGGCATAAGTCCTTATTCCGGAACACTGTTCCAGAAAAGGGCCTGTGTAGACAGCCCAGTAGTTTTTTCCGGAAAAAAGCCCCGATCGCGAAAATGGCGATCGGGGCTCTTTTCCGGAAAAGTGCATCTACATTGGCCACAGACGCTTTTCTGGAAAAGGGGCTTTTCCGGAAAAGCAGCCTGCCAATGTAGACGCTCCTTTTCCGGAAAAACTGAAAACGGAATAGTATTCCGTTTTAAGCATTTCCGGAAATTCATGCCAGTGTAGACACAGCCATAGTGTTAAACCTCACAATACTAGGCTTAACAGCAACTCTGTCCCTTCAAAGGTCTCCTTCCTTTTAGTTCTCAAGTCTTAACTATCATCTTTCACTGTGTCTGTGGACCCATGATCTTCTGCCACAGGATCAGAATTTTAGGTTACATTCCCTAACAATCCCCTGTATTTATCCCAGCAGGCCTGACTTTAATCCAGTGCCTGCAGTTCTCTCTCTCTCAGGGGCCTTGATAACATTTACCAGTGGTTGCACAAAAGCATAGTATATTTTCTTAGGACAATAGCATTACAATAAAAACGTATTCTAAAACGATAGATGGTCTGTATACGTGCTAAGCTTAACAGTTCTCACCCGTCTTCCTATCCCATGCTGCTTCCCACAGCTCCCATTGGCCAGGAACGTTGAACCACGGCCAATGGGAGCTGCAGGTGGCCTTACCTGTGGAACGCAAGGTAAACAACTGCCAGCAGCTTACCTCAATGTACTTTTTCTGTACAGGTAAACAATTTTTGTATGTGTTTGTTTAGCTAACTGCACTCAGTAACTACTTTTTCCCCCAGTAGCCTATTTGGAAAATCCAAAGAATTTAAAACATTGCCAGTAACAAGATAATGAGAACACAAGGTTTCCTCTTTGAGCAAATGGTTTTGTGTATTAAAAATCTCCGTTAAGCTAAAATGTGTTTCATTATTTACTGTCACTAATTGTAATACTGTATTCCTATTGAAAGATTTGATGTAGGAGGAAACTGCTTTATAGTTGGATATTATAATTAATATGCTAAATTTGTGGAAAAGTAGCTGATCTTGGTGGCATATTCTTATATAAGGAGGGGACTCATTTAATTTTTTGGTTTTATGTTCTTGTCTGAGAAAATTGACAATTTTTTCATGTCGTAGTTATGTTTTATAATTGATTGTATTTCAACAGATGGGCGCAAACCTTTTCCAATAAACCATGGGCAAACTAGTGATGACACTTTTTTAGAGGTAAGAATAGAAAAATTCTTTAAGTTTTATGTAACTCGAATGTTATGTACTTCCTGTGTATGTATTTGGGTGAGGGGAAAGATAAAAAGAAAAGTTCTCAACCAGGAGTATTTCAGAATACCCATGCAAATGCTTTTGTGTGTAAAAGAACAGCTTAATATGGCAGACAAGAGCTGTTTGAGCAGAAATCTTGTAAGTTTACCATATCCAAAGATCAGGTTGCTTTTTCTCTCATGTTGAGGTGTTCATATGGTCTTGCTGCTCTCAGCCCACATGATGGGGGAGCCCTGAAATGACCAGTCTGAGGACTTTTGAGTAGCTGTTTTGTTTTTCACTTTTTATAATTTGAGATGTCATGTTAACAAAAAGTGCACTCTCGTCCAGCATTTATAGTCTTTGTCAAATATCACAATATAATCATGCCAGTTTCAATTATTTTGGTAATTTATTTCAAAATACCTGTCAGCAAGTACGTCTAGCAGTTGTGTACACACATGTGCTTGCTCTCTCTCTCTCTCTCCCGCAGGAGTAGAGAGCTAAAGAAACCACTACAACTACCCAGTTTCTGCTTCTCTTCCTCCGATTTATCTCAGAGCCCAGCTTAGCCAGGACATACACCCTTTCTGCTCAGAGCCTGGACATGGGGGAGGGGTTCCCCCAGCCTAAACACTTGCATCTCTTCCCCCTCCCCTGCAACAATCCCAACCATGGGACTCACACCCAAAGTCCTGCACGTCAGCCCTCAGACACACTCAGAGCCTGTCCCCCTAGAGCTCAGGGACCCAGATGGAGAAACAGCCTTATGTTGGGTCTTGGGATTGCATAGAGCTTCCTACAAACCACCTCTGCCTTTCTTCAGGACATGCTGTGAACCCTAGCTCAGGGGTGGACAAAAGGGCCTCTGTGGACTGGATCCAGCCTGTCAAGCAGGTTGATCTGGCCCACGAAGGCCCTTTTGCTCCCCCACCCCAAGGCCAATTTGGGCTTGGGGGCGGGAGAAGTGCCCAGTTTCCTCTGCCCTGCCAGGAGTGCGCGGTGCGCCACATGCTCCTGGCAGGGTGGGAGGAGACTTTGCATGCTCTTCCGCCCTCAGGCCAATCAGGACCTGGGGGTGGGGAGAAGTGTGCGAAGTTTCCTTTGCCCTGCCCGGAGCGTATGGTGCAGACTTAGCATGCTCCCCCACCACCAAGCCCTGATTGGCCTGGGGGAAGAAGAGGGAGCGTGCAAAGCCTTCTCCCACTGCCAGGGGCGTGGGCATCTAGGGGATGGGGCCAAAGACTTCACGCACTCCCCCATCACCAGACCAGTCATGGGTTGCGGGTGGGGAAGCATCCTATCCCCGCCCCTTCTAGTGCAGCAAAAAATTATTGTTCACCCCTACCCTAACTGCTGGGAATCCTCCACATACCTCCCTCGCCCCCCCTGAGCCTTGTCTTCTATTTGCCAGCTGGTATCTTCTAGATCTAGTGGAGACCAACATCTCTGCAGCCCATTTCTGTGGAACAAAAAAGGAAATTCTGCATTGTCCAAAATAAATGTCTGCAAAATTCTGGACTGCTCAGTGGCACACAATTCGCCCAGGAGTATATCTTGTATAGAAATGTAACATTCCTTGTAGTTATTTCACATAACCTTTTGGGAAGCAAGAGCCTGGAGCAACACAGGCTGCTGTCATTAAACTGTCCAAAGCCATTTTTTTCAAATTACACTGTGTGTGGTGCACCCTCCATCTAGATTAGACACACACAGCTGTTGGTGTTGCTTAGGAATTCAGTTCTATCTTCAAGTAAAGGAGAGAGGTTTCTGAATGATGCAGTACTAAGAACTTGTAGAGAGAATTATCTAATTGTCTCATCTTTTGAACAGTAACCCATAATGTTCCAGACTGTTAGATGCAATGAATACATAAATTACTGTAGTTCTTGAAGTTCAGTACACTTGTTTACATTGAGCACAGATAGTAACATTTAGCGTTGCTAATTCAGAGTAAAGGAGAGAGGTTTCTGAATGATGCAGTACTAAGAACTTGTAGAGAGAATTATCTAATTGTCTCATCTTTTGAACAGTAACCCATAATGTTCCAGACTGTTAGATGCAATGAATACATAAATTACTGTAGTTCTTGAAGTTCAGTACACTTGTTTACATTGAGCACAGATAGTAACATTTAGCGTTGCTAATTCAGATCAGAAGATTATTCCAGATCAGGCACTCAGTAACTACTTTTTCCCCCAGTAGCCTATTTGGAAAATCCAAAGAATTTAAAACATTGCCAGTAACAAGATAATCAGAACACAAGGTTTCCTCTTTGAGCAAATGGTTTTGTGTATTAAAAATCTCCGTTAAGCTAAAATGTGTTTCATTATTTACTGTCACTAATTGTAATACTGTATTCCTATTGAAAGATTTGATGTAGGAGGAAACTGCTTTATAGTTGGATATTATAATTAATATGCTAAATTTGTGGAAAAGTAGCTGATCTTGGTGGCATATTCTTATATAAGGAGGGGACTCATTTAATTTTTTGGTTTTATGTTCTTGTCTGAGAAAATTGACAATTTTTTCATGTCGTAGTTATGTTTTATAATTGATTGTATTTCAACAGATGGGCGCAAACCTTTTCCAATAAACCATGGGCAAACTAGTGATGACACTTTTTTAGAGGTAAGAATAGAAAAATTCTTTAAGTTTTATGTAACTCGAATGTTATGTACTTCCTGTGTATGTATTTGGGTGAGGGGAAAGATAAAAAGAAAAGTTCTCAACCAGGAGTATTTCAGAATACCCATGCAAATGCTTTTGTGTGTAAAAGAACAGCTTAATATGGCAGACAAGAGCTATTTGAGCAGAAATCTTGTAAGTTTACCATATCCAAAGATCAGGTTGCTTTTTCTCTCATGTTGAGGTGTTCATATGGTCTTGCTGCTCTCAGCCCACATGATGGGGGAGCCCTGAAATGACCAGTCTGAGGACTTTTGAGTAGCTGTTTTGTTTTTCACTTTTTATAATTTGAGATGTCATGTTAACAAAAAGTGCACTCTCGTCCAGCATTTATAGTCTTTGTCAAATATCACAATATAATCATGCCAGTTTCAATTATTTTGGTAATTTATTTCAAAATACCTGTCAGCAAGTACGTCTAGCAGTTGTGTACACACATGTGCTTGCTCTCTCTCTCTCTCTCCCGCAGGAGTAGAGAGCTAAAGAAACCACTACAACTACCCAGTTTCTGCTTCTCTTCCTCCGATTTATCTCAGAGCCCAGCTTAGCCAGGACATACACCCTTTCTGCTCAGAGCCTGGACATGGGGGAGGGGTTCCCCCAGCCTAAACACTTGCATCTCTTCCCCCTCCCCTGCAACAATCCCAACCATGGGACTCACACCCAAAGTCCTGCACGTCAGCCCTCAGACACACTCAGAGCCTGTCCCCCTAGAGCTCAGGGACCCAGATGGAGAAACAGCCTTATGTTGGGTCTTGGGATTGCATAGAGCTTCCTACAAACCACCTCTGCCTTTCTTCAGGACATGCTGTGAACCCTAGCTCAGGGGTGGACAAAAGGGCCTCTGTGGACTGGATCCAGCCTGTCAAGCAGGTTGATCTGGCCCACGAAGGCCCTTTTGCTCCCCCACCCCAAGGCCAATTTGGGCTTGGGGGCGGGAGAAGTGCCCAGTTTCCTCTGCCCTGCCAGGAGTGCGCGGTGCGCCACATGCTCCTGGCAGGGTGGGAGGAGACTTTGCATGCTCTTCCGCCCTCAGGCCAATCAGGACCTGGGGGTGGGGAGAAGTGTGCGAAGTTTCCTTTGCCCTGCCCGGAGCGTATGGTGCAGACTTAGCATGCTCCCCCACCACCAAGCCCTGATTGGCCTGGGGGAAGAAGAGGGAGCGTGCAAAGCCTTCTCCCACTGCCAGGGGCGTGGGCATCTAGGGGATGGGGCCAAAGACTTCACGCACTCCCCCATCACCAGACCAGTCATGGGTTGCGGGTGGGGAAGCATCCTATCCCCGCCCCTTCTAGTGCAGCAAAAAATTATTGTTCACCCCTACCCTAACTGCTGGGAATCCTCCACATCCCTCCCTCGCCCCCCCTGAGCCTTGTCTTCTATTTGCCAGCTGGTATCTTCTAGATCTAGTGGAGACCAACATCTCTGCAGCCCATTTCTGTGGAACAAAAAAGGAAATTCTGCATTGTCCAAAATAAATGTCTGCAAAATTCTGGACTGCTCAGTGGCACACAATTCGCCCAGGAGTATATCTTGTATAGAAATGTAACATTCCTTGTAGTTATTTCACATAACCTTTTGGGAAGCAAGAGCCTGGAGCAACACAGGCTGCTGTCATTAAACTGTCCAAAGCCATTTTTTTCAAATTACACTGTGTGTGGTGCACCCTCCATCTAGATTAGACACACACAGCTGTTGGTGTTGCTTAGGAGAATTTTAGGTTACATTCCCTAACAATCCCCTGTATTTATCCCAGCAGGCCTGACTTTAATCCAGTGCCTGCAGTTCTCTCTCTCTCAGGGGCCTTGATAACATTTACCAGTGGTTGCACAAAAGCATAGTATATTTTCTTAGGACAATAGCATTACAATAAAAACGTATTCTAAAACGATAGATGGTCTGTATACGTGCTAAGCTTAACAGTTCTCACCCGTCTTCCTATCCCATGCTGCTTCCCACAGCTCCCATTGGCCAGGAACGTTGAACCACGGCCAATGGGAGCTGCAGGTGGCCTTACCTGTGGAACGCAAGGTAAACAACTGCCAGCAGCTTACCTCAATGAACTTTTTCTGTACAGGTAAACAATTTTTGTATGTGTTTGTTTAGCTAACTGCACTCAGTAACTACTTTTTCCCCCAGTAGCCTATTTGGAAAATCCAAAGAATTTAAAACATTGCCAGTAACAAGATAATCAGAACACAAGGTTTCCTCTTTGAGCAAATGGTTTTGTGTATTAAAAATCTCCGTTAAGCTAAAATGTGTTTCATTATTTACTGTCACTAATTGTAATACTGTATTCCTATTGAAAGATTTGATGTAGGAGGAAACTGCTTTATAGTTGGATATTATAATTAATATGCTAAATTTGTGGAAAAGTAGCTGATCTTGGTGGCATATTCTTATATAAGGAGGGGACTCATTTAATTTTTTGGTTTTATGTTCTTGTCTGAGAAAACTGACAACTTTTTCATGTCGTAGTTATGTTTTATAATTGATTGTATTCCAACAGATGGGCGCAAACCTTTTCCAATAAACCATGGGCAAACTAGTGATGACACTTTTTTAGAGGTAAGAATAGAAAAATTCTTTAAGTTTTATGTAACTCGAATGTTATGTACTTCCTGTGTATGTATTTGGGTGAGGGGAAAGATAAAAAGAAAAGTTCTCAACCAGGAGTATTTCAGAATACCCATGCAAATGCTTTTGTGTGTAAAAGAACAGCTTAATATGGCAGACAAGAGCTATTTGAGCAGAAATCTTGTAAGTTTACCATATCCAAAGATCAGGTTGCTTTTTCTCTCATGTTGAGGTGTTCATATGGTCTTGCTGCTCTCAGCCCACATGATGGGGGAGCCCTGAAATGACCAGTCTGAGGACTTTTGAGTAGCTGTTTTGTTTTTCACTTTTTATAATTTGAGATGTCATGTTAACAAAAAGTGCACTCTCGTCCAGCATTTATAGTCTTTGTCAAATATCACAATATTTGACACCAGGAGCAAACGCAGCGGCGGCGGAGTCCCGCGCCTCTAAGGCTTTGCCACAGAAAAGCCTCAGAGGCGCGGGACCCCTCTGCCTCCCCGGCTTTGCTCCAGGTGTCCCTGGTCTGCTGGAGCCTGTCCCCAGCAGATCAGGGGCACCCGGAGCAGCTTTTCTCGTCCCGGAGGTCGAGGTGGCGGGACTGCTGCACTCTGGGCGGTCCCGCTGTCTGCGAGCTCTGGGGCGAGAGAGCCCCGTTCGTAAGTGTGGATCCGACGTAAGTCGGATCCGCGTAACTCGGGGACTGCCTGTATTGGCAAAGTTTGTGCAGAAGTGAAAGAATCCTGATAGACATAAGCGCTGTAAATCATAGTTATTGTACTGTATTTAATTCATGTGCCAATTATTTTTTGTTGTTTTTAGTAACAGCATGCTTTATGTAATAAATAGTGATTGTATGCTTTCATATATTTTTTTTTCAAATAGGATGCAGTAGAAGTTTGCAAGAAGTTCATGGAACGTGACCCAGAAGAATTAAGATTTAATGCGATTGCTCTTTCTGCAGCTTAATTATTTTATTAGGAAAAGCTGCACCACTAACGTGTTGTAAAAAAAAATAATAATTGCCATATTATGTATGACTTTTGATACTTTCACCTAAGCATACATGGATTAAATCTTGAATTTGTTTTTATTGCATCATCTTGCTTGTTCCTAAAGTAGTTCTTTTGAAACAGTGTTACATATACACACACCAAAGATCTTTCATGCACTTAAGTCTTACCTTTCAGTTTTTCTGAATTATTCCCTGAGGAAGGCCAGAATTGAACATACACATTCAAACACACATCAGGAAGCACATTGTAAATTAATAAACAACAACCGAGATGCAAATGTAGGACTTCAAGCCCTGATTGGCCTGGGGGAAGAAGAGGGAGCGTGCAAAGCCTTCTCCCACTGCCAGGGGCGTGGGCATCTAGGGGATGGGGCCAAAGACTTCACGCACTCCCCCATCACCAGACCAGTCATGGGTTGCGGGTGGGGAAGCATCCTATCCCCGCCCCTTCTAGTGCAGCAAAAAATTATTGTTCACCCCTACCCTAACTGCTGGGAATCCTCCACATCCCTCCCTCGCCCCCCCTGAGCCTTGTCTTCTATTTGCCAGCTGGTATCTTCTAGATCTAGTGGAGACCAACATCTCTGCAGCCCATTTCTGTGGAACAAAAAAGGAAATTCTGCATTGTCCAAAATC